CATGCTCTGTCCCTGCTCCCTGACCCCCTGACGCCCCGAGCCGGAGACGGCCCAGGTGGGAGTCCCAGGGAAGGAGAGGAAAAGGCTGGTCAAGCATCCTGGAGGCAGGACCCCCGGGATTGGTCAGCCCTGGGATTGAGCCCCTGGCCTGCAGGGCCCCAGGCGTGAACAGAGGCCGGTTTGTGTGACAAGCGGGGTCCAGGGTGTGCCGTGCCCCAGAGACAACATGAGGGGTGTATGAGCAGGTGGGAGGTCAGGGTGCTGACCAGGCAGACCTCCAGTTTAGCCTCTGGAAGGAATGGTGGTTGTGGGGAAGCAGAGGGCTCACGGCTCAAGGAGGTGGTCAAGGGGGGTGGCCAGGAGGATGAGGAGCAGAGATTTTAAAATCTCCGTGAAAGACGGGAGGACGGGGCATTGCCCGATCGGAGCACGGGGCCAAGGGAGGGCTCTCAAGGCGGCTCAAACACAGAGAGGCACTTGTACCACTGACATGGGCTGCAGGCGGGGTGCACCTCGGCCAAAAGCCGGCCCGGGGGAGGGAGGGCTCGGGCAGGTGGATGGAGACCGTGGACACGAGAGGGCTTGGCAGCGAGTTGGGTCCCCAGTGGTTAGATCCCAACTCCATTGTAGAACTGACCAGACTTGCTTGGATGAAGGTGAAACTGAAATAAAAGGATCAAAGGTGACCCAAGACTTTGGGCTCGAGCTGCCATTTACCAAAACGCCGTTTACCAGGCAGGGTCTGTGTGCCAGTGGGGCCGGTAGGCGTTCCTTTGGGGGGTGTTTGACTCCCGATGTCCAGGGATCCTGAGTCAGGAATTCTGCCGAGGCCTCAGCACGGAGCCTGACTGACCCTCAGAAGCGTCCGGAAGCGCAGTGGCTGAGAGAACTCCAAGGGCCGGGGGAGAGGCTCCTGCTTGGCCAAATCTAAGAACCTGAACGCTCCTCCTGCCGCAGAACAGCCAGCTTCCGGTGGAGAGTCCTTGTAAATGCAAAGCCCCAGGCCGTGCCGAGCCTCGCCTGGTGCTGCTCCCTGCTCTGTCTGCCAGAGGATGTCCGGCCAGAATGTGGGCTGAGGGCCTGGTACCTGCTAGCATTCCCACCAGGACAGCGGAGTATGAACTCCACACAGATATGACAGGGTGTGCAGGGGACACCTGGCACGGTCAGTCTGTGGGCAGCACCAGCGGACCTCGCTGCCCCCCGGACGCCTAGAGTCAGCGCAGTCGGGTATAAAATGGGGTGAGTGGTCAGGATGCCTCAAAACCATCAGGTCATGGAGAACAAGGAGACTGTGGACCTGTCCCAAGTCAGAGGACTGAATGCAGTGGGGGATCCTGGACCAGAAAAAGGACAGCCGTGGAGAAACGGGAACCCGAGGAAAGCCTGCCGTTAGCTGGGAGCAGGGTCCGGCATCGGCTGCTTAGTGGAGACACACGTTCTGTGGGGATGTCAGATAGTAACATCCGCGAAGCTGGTCAGCGCTGCACTGGAG